CCTGGTCCGCACCTCGGTTTTCTAAAACGACCCGACCCTTGTGTTTCTTTTCCATAGGAAATGGATTTTACCATGGGAGACAAAGCACAACTCGGTTCGGGTGCTGTCTTCTGATTGGTCGTTGCTGTCTTCTGATTGGTCGGCCATCCAGGCTTCGGATTGGTCCGATTTCGATCCTGTTTTGGGGAAGGGTTGTCAACCCCTCAGACGTTCAGCACCTCTTAGAGTACAGACGTTCATCAGACACACATCGCTATCATGACGAGCAACCAAAGTACGCCCTATCGTTTGGAGAGGAAAGATATCACCCGCTCCAGACGGCTAAGAACTACTAATCATACCTATCGTTTGACTTTCAACCCAGACTACTTGGACACCGTACCACCGGAACGCGTCCCCATGGAACTGCCAGCTTTATTTGACAGGGTGATCGATGACTTTTATGAACAGATATCAGGTCAGAAGGGAGATCGTATTGGTCTAGGTATCGATCATCCCGCTTTGAACACTCCCATACGGATTCCCTTTCGACGTTTTGAAGATCTCCATGGGCTAACTATTTTGCAAGCGTTGGAAAAAGTCCAACAGTCCAACAAAGACCTGAACATCGATGCCACAATGGATGTGACCTTAGTACACGTCGCAGATCCCAACAGGCTAGGATCGAGCAGTGGTGCTCCCCGGCTGAAAAACGTGATTGGACTCGAAGCTTTTTTAACACGCAAAAAGTGCATCGTACGGATCAAGAACGAAGATCAATCCTGTTTGGCACGGGCCCTGGTGGTGGCACAGCATTATGCCCACAAGCCTCACCCTCTGACCCCAGCATGGACCGCCCAGCGAAAGAGCCTGACGAGAACGGATCGCGTCGACGTTCAAGGCATACGGGCACGGGCCTTGTTTCGAAGCCTTGGCCTGCCCGAAGGTCCCTGTCGGGGGCTGGACGACCTCGCACGCGTGGGACGGGCCTTGACCCGTCTGCATTATCAACTGAAAGTCTACAGTCAAGAGGTGGGTCAGAGACTGTTGTACAAGTGTGATGAGGCTCCACCCCACGCCACCGTGCTGCATCTCTACCATCATGATCAGCACTACGATGTCATCACTTCCATGCCCGCTTTTTATGGCTCTAACCATTATTGCGAACGCTATGACAAACGTTACGACCATCCCGAAAACCATCCCTGCACCAAGGAATACCGCTGTCCCCGCTGCTTCTACTCTAGTTATTGTGGACCCCAGGAAGAGCACGGGATCCCTTGCTTGACATGTCAAGGTTGGTTCCCCAATCCAACGTGTTACACCCGGCATCTCCAGTCACCGTCAGAGGGAAAACCCAGCGTCTGTCAATCGATTCACAGGTGCCCGAACTGTTTTCAGCTGGTCCGCTTCTTGGAGACCCCCATGGCTCACCACGCGTGCTTCGATGAAGACCATCCCTGCTTGGTGTGCCGAGAACCCATGACCCCAGATCATCGCTGTTACATGACGCCTCTCCGTGAAGAAAACGAGGAGGGGGAGAAGGGGAAGGGAGAGGAAGCGGAGAAGGAGGAGGAGGGGGAAGATGAACAACATCCCCTACGAGACCATGTTCAATACGCCTTCTACGATTTTGAATGCATGCAAGACACGGGGGAACACATTCCAAATTTGTGCGTGGTGCAACTAGGATGTGGACGATGCATCAGTGAAGTGAGCAAGAACTTGTGCGAACACTGTCCATGGAGAGAAGAAGGGTATGGTCCCAGCCATGAGATCGTGTTTCGAGGCCCCACCACGCGACATGATGTGTGTGTGTGGTTGACCACGTTGTCTGAAATACCCAAGAAGAAGCCCCACCCAGAGGAAGAGGAGGGCAACACACGCAAGGGGACGACAGGTCACCTGGGGAAAAAAAGAAAACGGGATGACACCCCCTCAAGAAAGCACGCTTCCAAACGACAGGCATCACCCCAGCAGGAGGGGGAGGAGTTGGGGGAAGAGGGGGTGGAGATGGAAGAGGGGGAAGAGGTCATGGAAGTGGAGAAAACAAAGAAGCCAAAGAACAAGAACACCTCCTGCCATACAGTCCCGAAGGAGGATCGCATTTATGTGATGGCCCATAATGCACGATCCTATGATTTACACTTAGTCCTGAAGGGTCTGTCCCCCCTCCTGGTGACACTCCCCACCAAGATTCGGCATGGCCAACAAATTTTGCAAATGACCCTGGGACGGTTATGTTTCGAAGACAGCTTAAATTTCATCCCTTACCCCCTGAAAGCCTTTCCCAAGAGCTTTGGGCTGAAAGAAATGAAGAAAGGGTACTTTCCACACTTTTTCAATACGAGAGTCAACCAGACCTACAGAGGTCGCTATCCACCAGCTGTCACGTACGATCCCGATGGCATGTCTCCCGCGGAACGCACAGCCTTCCTCCAGTGGCATACCCAAAAAGTGCAAGAAGGAGCCTTGTTCGACTTACAAGGAGAACTTTTAACCTACTGCCAAAGCGATGTGGACATTTTGAGACAGGGATGCGCCGCGTTCCGACAGAACGCCATCCACTCGGTGGGCATGGATCCCTTTGTGGAAGTGATGACAGCTGCAGCGTTCACCATCAAATCCTTCCGAAAACACGACCTGAAACCCAATACCATCGCCATTCTCCCACCTCAAGGCTACCAACCCAAGAGAAACTATTCCCAGGCCTGTATGCACTGGCTCCACTATCTGATGGAAACGGACCCCCATCTGCACCTCCAGCACGCCAGGAATGGCGGTGAAAAAGAGTTCACGTGTGGAGGGGGTCAACATCGGTACACCGTGGATGGCTACGATCCAGCGACAGGCACCGTCTACGAATTCCTGGGCTGTTTCTGGCATGGGTGCCAGGCCTGTCACAAGACCCGACGTGGAGAACCGCATCCCGTCCTGGGCTCGTCGTTGGGAGCCCGTTACACCGACACCCACTACCGCTTGAGTCTCTTGAGTCAACACCCTGAGGTGAAACGGATCGTCACCCTGTGGGAGCACGAGTTTACGAAAATGCAACGGGAGGACTCCGCTCTGCGTGCTTTCTTGCAGGGACCCCGCTGTATCCACGTCCCCGGGCCACTCAACCCTCGCGACGCCTTCTATGGAGGACGCACCAATGCCACGCGATTATGCTACGAAGCCCAAGAAGGTGAAACCATCAAGTACATCGATATTTGTTCCCTTTACCCCTACATTTGTAAGACCGGAGCGTTTCCCACGGGACACCCGACCCTTCTCCATCAACCCCCTGTGGACACGTTGTTTGAACTGAAAGGCCTGATCCAATGCCGTGTCCTACCCCCGAAACGACTTTACCATCCGCTACTGCCTTACAGATCGGGTGGCAAACTGCTCTGTCCTTTGTGCCGCACGTGTGCCGATACCCGGTCAGACTCCCCCTGCGAGCACACGGACGAAGAGAGGTCATGGGTGGGGACGTACGCCACCGTAGAACTCCAGGAAGCCATGAAGAAGTATGACTATTGGGTGCTTCAGATCTACGACGTTTGGCATTTTGACACCTTTGCACAGCATGACCCCGACACACAGCAAGTGGGACTCTTTGACACTTACATCGATCGACATTTCAAGGAGAAGCTCGAAGCCAGCGGATACCCCGAAGGATGTACGGATCACGACGCGTACATCCAGGAGATCTACGACAAAGAAGGCATTGGGTTGGACAAGGACCGCATCGAAAAAAATCCAGGACGTCGCACGATTGCCAAGATGCAACTGAATTCGCTCTGGGGCAAGTTTGGGCAACGGGTAGACTACAGTCAGAACGTGTATATGAACGATCCTGTACAGTACTTTGCCTTGTGGAGGGATGAACGCAATACCATCGAGGATGTGGTCGTTGTCAACGAACACATGGTGGAAGTGACCTATACCCAGCAGAAAGAATTCCAAACCCCTCATTCTCATTTCAACGTCGCCATCGCTGCTTGGGTCACCGCCCAAGCACGTCTCAAGCTGTACGAGACCCTTGCCCTGGTGGACCGCAGGGTGTTGTACTTTGACACGGACAGCGTCATTTACATTCATCGACCCCACGACGCGAATCCAGAGCTGGGTCATTCGTTGGGCGAGTTTACGGATGAACTGGACGGAAACACCATCAAGACGTTTGTGTCGGGAGGCCCCAAAAACTATGGCTACGAGTTAATGAACCCCAGACCCGATGGAACGCGCATGACCTGCAAAGTGCGAGGGTTCACTTTGAATTACCGAAACCAACGCCATCTCAACTTTGACACCATGAAAGGACTGATACTGGGACAACGACCTGGGAAAGAGGAGGAGAAAATCAGTTTGGATTACCCTCATCAGATCATTCGAAAAGGCCCTCGGCACGAAAACGCACTCGTGACCCGACCCACCCGAAAAGACTATCGTACCGTGTACGACAAGCGACGTCTCGTCTACGACGACATCACAGGGCTACCTGTAGACACGCTCCCCTTTGGGTACAGAGACGACTTTCACTAAAAATTTTCATGACAGCGGATCAAAACTGAATCGACATGGACCCCTACAGAAAAAAAAAACGGATCGAAATCGGACCAATCCGAAGCCTGGATGATCGACCAATCAGAGGCCGCGCTCGGGCCAGGGTGGCCTCTGATTGGTCGAACCGAGGTTGTGCTTTCTCTCTCACGCTACAAGCCTAACCCTATGGAAAAAAAACACAAGGGTCGGTCCAGTTTGGAAAACCAAGGTGAAAGTCAGGCCCCGGAACGGGCCAATCAGAAAGCAGGACCTCCGTGGCTTTTAATACGACCGACGCTCTCCGGTCATCACTTTTCACTGAACGGACCAAGCCCCACGTTGTGTTGGTTGTTGGCGTTTTATCTGGAAGAAACGCGTGTTTGGAGAGAGTACCATCAAGTGTTGACGCACCTCCGTGAAGACTTGGAAAGAAACAACAACAACAACAACAACAACGAACAGAACATCCGGACAACATCATGTCGAACAACATGTCGAAACGGTTGAATGACAAGACACGAAGCGACATGTGTGGCCAAGGAAGCAGTGGAGAGGGGAACGGTAACATGACTGCTGAACTGTGGGGTGAAGTGTACGACTTGCTGTGTTTAAAGATGAAGACCGACGACGCGTATGCCAAGTTACGTGCGAAGAGCGACAACCTGATGTGCGACCAGATACGTTCAAAGATGAGGAAGCTGACTGAACCCGAGAAAGGCACATCGAAGAATACGATCAAGAAGATCCAGAAGAAAAAGACACGGAAACCCACAGCCGTGGTGACCCCCACAGCAACGGCAACACCCCCCACCCCCACCCCCACCCCCACAGCGCCAGTCCCCACCACCACCACCACCACAGCAGCCACAGCAACCACGACTGCGGCGACAACAGACATCGACACGAGGGGGACATCCTTTTTGAAACCTGCCACACCTGCAACGCCTGCAAAAAGACGATCACGGAAGAAATTATCTCTGAAGATCTCTCCTCAAGAACAACTGTAAGTACCCTGCTCTTCTTTGTCTCAGTCATTCTTGATGTGATTCATATGCATGACCTATGCCTATCCTAAATGGACTCTGTCCTTATGATTGACAGGACCCCTGATGTCAGTTCAGCCCAGTCCGTGCTAGAACAGTGGTGGGAACAAACCCCTCGGGAGCCCACCTATTCACCGAATGCCCCTGTGACGATGGCGACGGGTGACCTCGATGATCATGAAGCGCTCAAGATGGCCACTCTCCCTTCCATGGATCTGGACACGCTTCCCCTGCTCGAGGCTTCTTGGTCACCAGCATCCCCGGAAGAGGTTCATGTCTACTCCTCAGGTACGCCCATGGTTTGCGACGATGATGATGATGACAACGTTGACCTGGATCCTTATGGAGAAGCTCAACTCACTCCCCTACAACGCGAATGTCGTGTTTGCCGACACAACAACATGTTAAGATACATCAGTTGCAACAGCGGGCAAGTGATGTGTCATGCCTGTGAGCTGGAGCTCATAGACTGTACTTGTAGTATGTTGACCTATGACAGCATAGTGACACATGATGACATGCCTATCGCATCTGAGGATCACATCTTATGGTGATCCTCCTCTTCACTCGAAGAACTTTGTCAACACGCCAGCTGCAACCGTGATCAAGTGATGTGTCATGTCTGTTTCAGGGAGGCCATAGACTGTACGTGTTGAATGGTTGGGCCTCTCACAGGTTTGAGGGAGGACCACCTCTTAGGGACTTGAAGATGGAAGAGCTTGAAGATGGAAGAGGAAAACGTTGTCGCGTTATTGTTGTTGTTGTTGTTGTGGTTGATGTAGGGACATGCAAAGCACTCCTTCCTCCATTGACTTTTCGTATTTCCATTGTATCGGGTTGTGATTGGTTTTTTCATGATTAAACAGTGATTGATTGAACTGACTCTTTGTGTCTTGATTGATCTCAACTCCAATAGAGTGCCGAACCGAGGGTAGAGGTTGAGTTGAGATGTCGTCTATGTTGTCTGTCTGTCTGTCTGTCTGTGCCTCTGTCATGTCAGTGCACACCAAAGTGAAGAAATAAAATTAAAAATAGATAAAAGAGAAAGGCCATGCTTGAAAGATCAGCTGCCTGGTGTCAGTCATTCCAGGACGCATCGATCCCCCCTACACCCCTCCCCGTGTGCCATGTCATGTCATGGATCATGTCATGGATCATGCCGTGTGTCCGTCAATCCAAACACAGGATGACGTCACGTGAGGAGATGGAGGAGGTGGAGAGTTTCATAAAAGCTAAAGTCATGACCTTCCGTTGAAGGGTGTAGGGTGGAGAGTTTCATAAAAGCTAAAGTCATGACCTTCCGTTGAAGGGTGTAGGGTGGAGAGTTTCATAAAAGCTAAAGTCATGACCTTCCGTTGAAGGGTGTAGGGTGGAGAGTTTCATAAAAGCAGGCGAACCCTCAGACCTTCTTTCAGTGAAGTCACCGTCATCATGGAGCAAAGACGTTCTATGAATGCCATGTCATCCTGCCGAGATGTCGTCACCGATTCCGAGTGGGTGTCTGAAAAGGCGAGAGAACAAGAAGCGAGAAAACGTTCACTCTTGATGGACGACACACTCTTGATGGACGACAGGTGTCGACTCGGTGACGTTCTGGAGAGACCTTTTCCTTCTTACACCTTGTGTCAACCTTCTCATCCCCACTATGATTCATTTCAAGAACGTCTGAGGTCTTTTAAAACGTGGCCTCAACAGATGACCCAGACCCCTTATGACATGGCCATGGCTGGCTATTTCTATCCAGGACGAGGGGACTGTGTGACCTGTTATTGCTGCGGTGTGGCACTCCGCCAATGGGAAGCCACAGACCAACCCTGGAAAGAACATCTGAAGCATGCCAAAGTCCCCTGCGAATACTTGTGTGTGTTTTGTCCTGATGGAGAAGTGAACGAAAAATACAGACGTTTGGTGTCCCAAGAAGCACGGAAACGAAGAGTCGAGTGTCTTGTTCACCCCAAGTGACAAAGTTTCTTTTTTTTTTCAAAGTGGTCAGACGTTCCTACCCTCGCGGTCACCCCTCCCTCGTGTTCACAAAAATCACAGGGATGTCCCCCCTCATCCTGTGACTTTTGTTTTGTGGTGTTGGTTCATGTGATCAGGGGGATTAAATTTTTTGTTAAAAACTCATAGTCGTGTTATGTTGTCTGTAGGATGAAGAAAAAACAAAACAGGATCGAAATGCACATCCCGATAAAAAACCGGATCGAAATCGGACCAATCCGAAGCCTGGGTGGTCGACCAATCAGAAGCGGCGCTCGGACCAGGCGGGGCTCTGATTGGCCGAACCGGGGTTGTGCTTTCTCTCCCATGGTAAAATCCATTTCCTATGGAAAAGAAACACAGGGGTCGGTCCGTTTTGGAAAACCGAGGTGCGGGCCGGGCCCCGGAACGAACCAATCGGGGGCGCGGCCTGGGGAACCAATCAGGAAGCAGGGTGTCAGTGCCTCTCCTATAAAAACAAAACAAGAGCGAAGCCACTCACACACACTGCATTCTATGAAACCCATCATGTCAGCTCGTTACAGTTGTTGGATGTGCCAGACCGACAGTCACAGTTACCTGTACTGCCCTGAAGTGACATGTACCGAGTGCCACACTCAAGGTCACCGTCACTATGTCTGTCCGAAGCTGAACAGTCAAGAGAAGCAGGAGAAGCAGGAGAATCAGTACCAGGGCCCCTGTTGTTACAACTGTGAAGCCCTGGGTCATTTCGCTGCAGATTGCCCAGAACCCCGTCGAAAGAAGACTCCCCATCGCCTGGACCGCTGTTACAACTGTGGAGCCCAGGGTCATTTCGCTGCAGATTGCCCAGAACCCAGTGGAAAGAAAACGTTAGCAACACCGTCCACGTCGACACCCGTGGCATCCGTGGCAACCGTGACCCCCGTGACACCCGTGACACCCGTGGCACAAGTGCTTCATCTCATCGAAGACATGCATTCCGATGTCCTCGACCTAAAAGAATGTCTCACACAACTCCGGGTAGGCATCACACCTCGTCTAGAGAAAAGAAAACGGAACAGGTCCCCCTCACGAAAACACGTTTCAAAGCGCCGACGACACCTTCCGTCCGAGGATGAGATGGAAGTAGAGGATGGAGAAGTGAGATCCTCTGAACAAAGTGACTAACGCATGGGTCATGCTGCCCCACTGTTTTTACCCGTTTCCCATCGTTTGCAGTTTTTCCAGTGTTCCAGTGTTCCTGCCGTTTCCAGTTTCCAGTTTCCAGTTTGTTTTCCAACGGCCCTTTTCAGGGCCACCCATCTCTCCCGAAAGACAGCTTTTCCTCCTTTGCTTTGACGACCCTCCCACCCCACCCCCCAACCCCCACCACACCGTGAACCCACCCCTTCTCCCCTCCCCCTCCCTCCCGCCCTTCACCACCACCACCACCACCCCACGTCTATTTCTATTTTTAGAACAACACAAGAACAACAACCCTGTCGATCTTGTTCCCCTCGTACGGGCGCTTCTCCGGGTTTTCCCCCTATCCCTCCTCCTCCCCGGAAACGGAAGCGACGCCCTCTTTCCATGCGTACTCCACCGGACACGGATGCGACGCCATCTTGCATGCGCGCGCCACCGGAAACGGAAGCGACGCCATCTTGGAGGCGCGCGCAGGTACCCATCATGCACTGCGCAGGTCACGTGACCGGAAACGGATGTGCCGCCATCTTGGTCCCAGAAATCTGAGCGGTCCCAGAAATCTGAGTGGTCCACGACCGATGCTAGTTACTACTTACACCAATTGGTTTAGGGAACTGTCCACACTTTGAAGAAACATTTTCTTTTCAGCTATTTGCTTGTTACTTTGAAGAAACATTTTCTTTTCAGCTATTTGCTTGTTTTTTAGCATTCCTTCTGGTGTCCCTGGGTTAAAACAAAGTAGTTCTGTTCTACAGTCTTTTACAGCCTGAAACAAAATGCAAATCAGCAATATAAAAAAGTCAACAGAAGATCTAATCAAATCAATCAATACGACAGTTGTCAATCAATGACAATCAATGACATAACAAAAACACTTACAATTGACAGCACGAACTTACATTTGGACCAAGTAGTGTACAGCCAGATCACCACCTCCTGTTCAACAGAAACATGGCACTCACACACTGATTATCACTGAGTATCACTTGCTTATTGTCAGAAATAAACTGTAGCATTGCTTGGAACTATCTACCACATACCGAACAGACCCGTGAAGATTCCAGGGTAGAGTAGGTCTTCAGCAACCCATAGTAGTTGTCTACATCGGCGCTGGACCCCTCGGGATTCTGGGACCAGCTCAGGATTCTGGGACCAAGATGGCGGCACATCCGTTTCCGGTCACGTGACCTGCGCAGTGCATGATGGGTACCTGCGCGCGCCTCCAAGAGGGCGGCACATCCGTTTCCGGTGGCGTGCGCATTCAAGATGGCGTCGCATCAGTGTCCGGTGGCGTACGCATTCAAGATGGCGGCACCTCCGTGTCCGGGGAGGAGGGGAAAACCCGGAGAAGCGCCCGTAAAAGGGGGAACAGGATCGACATTGAAAGAAGCGCGTCAAAAATCTTTTGTTGTTGTTGTTCTACACATAGACGTGGTGAAGGGAGGGGGGGAGGGAGGAGGTGGGGTAGGGTTCACGGTGTGTGGGAGGTTGGAGGGTCGTCAAAGCAAAGGAGGAAAGTTGTCTTTCGGGAGAGATGGGTGGCCCTGAAAAGGGCCGTTTTGATGCTTACATGCAGGTGCACGCAATGGTGCAAAGGCACGGGTGGACTTTCATCTGTGTCCTGACAGGACACCTACTGGTGTGCGTTAACCGACGCACGTAGGTGTCCTTCAGTACAGTGCCGCAGTACACGCACTTGAAAGTGCCATCCCATGCCCTTGTACCAAGAGCGTACACGGGCAGACCCCCTTGACATCTATTGCATTGCCACGGTGGAGACCATGGTGGTGGTGGTGGTGATGCTTCTTTCCACCCGGGCAAAGGTTGTGTCACTCTGGCGATCTCTAGATCCAAGTTTTCAGACTTGATGTTGTTGCTGGTGTTGTTGCTGTTGCTCATGATGATGAATCAATTTTACAAGTGACACTGACCCACTCGAATCCACTCTTGTTTTATAGGAGAGGCACTGACACCCTGCTTCCTGATTGGTTCGCCAGGCAGCAGCTTCGATTGGTTCGTTCCGCTGCCTGCCTGCACCTCGGTTTTCCAAAACGGACCGACCCTTGTGTTTCTTTTCCATAGGAAATGGATTTTACCATGGGAGAGAAAGCACAACCCCTGTTCGACCAATCAGAGCCCCGCATGGCCCGAGCGCCGCTTCTGATTGGTCGACAATCCAGGCTTCGGATTGGTCCGATTTCGATCCGTTTTTTTCTTCTTGGGTAGCCTTGGTATTTTTTAGGTAGACGGTCGTCTGAATGCTAAAGGAAGGTGGACCTTCATAGGTAGACATGAACGTGGGAATGCCTACGTGATGTACGTTGTGTCACTCCCATGCCAAACGGAATGTCATGTGTGTGTGTGTGTGTGAGTGTGTATGTCTTCAAACAGACGTTGACGTTGATGCATAGAATAGCGTGTTGTCAGGCAAAACGTGGTGTCCTGTGTGTGTGTGTGTGTGTGTGTGTGTGTGTGCGACTACAACCATGGATGTAGGATTGAGATGAATAGAGAAAGATCGATACACCTGCGTGACGTTTGCACACGTCATGGACTTCATGTCGCGATGTGAACGTCATGTACTTTGTGTGTTGCCATGCAAACGTAGTGCCCTGTGTGTGTGTGTGTTTTCAAATTATTAT